TTTCTAAATATTTTATTATTAGTATTATTTAGTATTATTATTAGTATTATTATTATATTCTATTGTTGTATTATTATGTTATCATATAATATTATTAAGTAGTTTTGTATAATGTGATGAATAAAAAGAATGGTTACCATTTCTACCATTTCTACTATTTCTACTATTTCTACCATTTTTACCATTTCTACTATTTTTACCATTTCTACCATTTCTACCATTTTTACTATTTCAACTATTTTTATTATTTCTACCATTTTTACCATTTCTATTATTTCTTATTATTTATATTAGTTTTATTAGTTTAGGAAAAAAATATAAAAACTTTGGCTTTTTCCTTTCCTACCAAATAAAACTTAGACACCCCCTCTAGATACAAAACCCTTTAGTTATAGGAACAATATATCTTGTAATTGAAATCTTATATCATAAATAAAATATATCTTTCTTTAAACTATATACTTTCCACAACTGCTCTTAGTGAAGTTACATTTTACTTCCATACCCCTATAATCTCACAATGGAGCTTTATAGCTGTGTGCTTTGTTATTTGTGCTGTATTAAGAAGGCTACAGTCCACTTGTAACAATTTGGTACCTCCTGGCAGAAAGAAAAAATTCTCCACCTAAAGAAAAAATTTTGCCACTTTATAAGGGAAACCCTGCCTCTTTGAATTGAAAATTCTTGCTCTCTAAAAGAAACCCTCCCTCTTGAAAAGATCTCTTGCCAGATCAACCTTTGGAAGGATATTTATTTATGACTTTCCTCTCCCCTCTCTGCTATTACTATCCCAGTGATAGTTTCTTTTAGAAGTCCTGACAAATTGAAAGAGATTTGATCAGAAGGGTATACTTGAAGCTTCTGCTTTCGTAGCAACTATTGAAAGTCCTGACAGATTGAAAGAGATTTGCTCAGAAGGGTATACTTGAAGCCTCTGCTTTCGTAGCAACCATAGAGCTAGCAGCTTATTGCGAACCTTAATCGAGGATTAAGCACAAATTACCCATGAGCCAAAATGTAGACGTAAGTAATTCCACCTAGAATTAGATTTTTAAATACAACCAGAATCAGATAACTCTTAAATATTATAACTCAAGGATTGCTCATCGCATTATATGTATCAAGCCTACCAATTGTATTTGGAACATATACAAAGATATGAACTAGCATACCAAGAAAATAGTCTTGCAAACAATACCCTCTAAGTACTTGCTCTTGACGAATCTTGCTGACAGTATTTTACTGCTACTCAATATCACCGTGCTTTCTGTGGTTTTTGGTTGTAGTATCAAAAAGCTTTTGCCATAACTTCTTATACCCAGATAATAGTCACAGCCCATTTTGAATTGAAAAGTTACCCTAACTATAGTTCTGCTCAAGCGTTAGTTTGAGACATTATTTTTAGTTGTCGATATAGAACATCATTTGACAACTCCGACAAATAGCCGCTACCCTCTTTGCTAATTATACTCAATTTCGACTCGCACCTTATTTACCCCCAAATTTTCCTGTCAACGACTTTGACCCTTATATTAAAAACTCTAATTATTCTCATCCATTAAATCCCACTACTAATACTGCTGAAGCTTTAGGAGATTTTGGTTCACCTGTAGCTTCAACATCCTGAAGTAAAGCCGATAATTCTTATTTTGCAACTCTCCCCAACCTACATTCTCCTAACCCTTTACAACTTAAGAAAATAGCAGATATCTCTACTCACTCTATCTCTGTTCTTCCTGACTATAACGAAAATACTATTTAAATTCAATTTCCTCTTCAAATTAATACTCCTAATCCCTCTTTGCTAATATCGATTTAGAATTTACTTATACTTCTCCTCATACTGCAACTAACCCTCCTCAAGCCCAACCTTATCCCTTCGCTCAATTTATTAACTATATTATACCTACTAACACGCCTACAATTACTACTAACCCTCTTCTTGCACCTGGAGCCTATCTACAAGCTAATTTAGATCTTAATACTACTCTATTAAATACTTCTCCTCAACTCTGACCACAACTACCTACTGCACTATTATTAATAGAACCAGAACAAGACCCTAATTTTATTGTTAAAATACCAGAAAAAGAACAAGAAGAAGTTAATAACCAAGCTTCTGACGCTGAAACTAATTTTATCATAACTGATGAAGAACCAGAACAAGAAGAAAATATAGCTAATAAAGCACTTAGAGCTATTGTTGAAGCAATGACTGCTATTGCTGCTACCTTAGGCCATAGTGGTGAAAAGTCCCTTATCAAAATAGATTTCTACCAAGGTGATGAAACCCAAAACCCCATAACTTGGTTGGAAGAATTTGACCATACTGCTAAAGCCAACCACTGGAGCCCTGTTCGATAACTAGAATTAGTCACTGCATATATGAAGAACAATGCCCAAAAATAGTTTACTAGCCTTGCTAATGCTTCTACCTACTACTATTATCCCCAACATAGCCAAAATGTAGATAATAATCCTGTTCGAAGTTTTACCTATCTGTTTAAAGCAAAGTTCAGTACAATTAGACAAAAAGCTACATGGCAAAAACAGCTTTTTGAAATAAAACAAGAAACAGACACAGTTGACACCTATGTTAGCTGCTTTAAACAGCTTCAACTTCGAATAGATTCTGCTAATGGTATCCCTGGATCTATGATAGTTCAATTCTTTATTCAAGGCTTATGACCAGAATATGCTATGAATTTACAAGCCACTGAACCTGCTAATCTGAACCATGCTATACAAGAAGCATATAAATGGGAAACTGAACGAGTTATGGCCTCTGAAAATAATACAAATGGCAATAATAATG